GATTCAATTCTTGCTTATACAGTATTTAAATATTTGAAGATTAAAAGGAAAATATATCATTTCTATTACCAAATTTTTCATTGGGGCCATTTTTACCTACCTGTCTTATGGGGCCATTTTTACCGGGGCCATTTTTTCCAAGGCCATTTTTTCCAGGGCCATTTTTTCCGGGGCAATTCTTACCTACATTCTATCTCATTATACAATTGTTTTCTTTCCTCATTACACCTATCAACATCCACAAACACCACAACCATAGTAACAAACTCTTGAAGGAGAAATAACAACTCCATCACCACATACAAACTAGCTACCCACCTCTTCAGTTACCACTTCTGCTATTATAGAAAATTATAATATCCTCACCTCATACATGATCCCTAGGCTATGCATATACTGTGATGCTTAGAACTTGCTGGACGAATCTGGGACACATACTCTATAACATTAATCATATCATCTGATGAACTGGACCAGCGTACCCCTGTACATACTGTACATACAAATAACAAATTTTGAGAGTTGAAGGTCTAGAGTAGTGTATGTTGTGGACAAAATTCAAAAGTCACATAATACTAGTAATTTGTCATGTCAAATAATTATGCCTATTGTTATTTATTATGCTGAAACTTTGCATTGTGGTAGTAAGTAGGGTTGTGCTTGGCCCAGGTTCTAAGCATTTGTTTCTTATATTTGTTTCAGAGCAAACCAATATGCCCACCAGAGAGCAAAGTAAGATTCATTCAAGTACTGTAAGCAGTGGCGGCTCTAGCATATATTTTCTGGGGGGGGGCCCTGTCTCTTATACACATCTGATGTGTATAAGAGACAGGGGGGAAGGGTTCGAGAGGGTGTTCCAACTCCCAAAAGAGATTTTTTTAAGAATAGGAACCTCTGGATGGTTTAAGCTACTTCACTTCACTTGCTGGTTTGAATTTAATCCTTTATAATTTATATCCCCACATTAACCAGGAATCATGTACTATAATAGAATTTTCGTAGAACATAGATTAAACTTTTATTAAAATTAGCTTACATTTGAGAATGAATATCCACTGCCTTCCATATGGAATGTTCCAACATAGTGTATTGCACAATCTTTGGATGCTCAAGATGATTTTTCTAATTCCCACAATGCATCGCTCCTTGCCTCATCTCTAGGTTTAAATATATTTGCAGCAAACCACTTCACTAAATCAGCTGCTGCAATGTAAAAAAAAATGCTGAAGATTGATGAACTAAAAAAAAAATCAACATAGTTGGTACTTCTCATATAAAAGTAGTAAATGTAGCCTGAGACCTAATTGTTGACCCATCTTCTTTCAAATCTTCTACATATGAAGCACATTAATTGCCAACATTAATTAATCTTTCATATTTTTGACAAAAATTTACAACTCATTAATTGCAATAATATTAGATGGTAAGTGCCTTAATGCCTTGGATATAGACTTTCAGAGGAATTTGCAGCAGTAAAAAATTGCATTGAATTTAATAAGTAATTTTTTATCATAGCAAAACCTCTGCTTTTGTTTATATTTACAGTAACCTATATTTGCTTCATCAGCCTAATTTTAACATAAAATTAGTAGAACATAGAACATAAAACAGCAGAATTGTTGTGAGTATAATCATGAAAAGGACAAGTATATAGTACAGTTTTAACCTTACCTTCTAATTTTATCTTGCAGCTCATAGAATTTTTAAAATTAAGCTAAAAATTAGAGAAATTGTTTGCTTGACTTTAATAGAATGCTTATATATTAAGCAGTCTTTCTTTCCTGTAAAATAATTAAAAAAAATACATATTTATTTTCATCTCATCCATAATAAAGTACACTAGACAACCACATAACAAAGTTCCAAAATAGAGTGCTACTTAACTACACTATGTTTCACCCCTTTATTCTGAGTAGTTATTACTACTGAGTAAATTTACATTATACTATCCATATCCAACTTTTTTTATATCTTTAACTTAATTTTTTGACATTGTATCTATAATATCACTTTTTCTTTCCTCATCAGTGTTTTGAAACTTTTTGCATCAGGCACTATACGAGCACATAGAGGTCTAATAAATTATTATTATCATTGTCATCATCATTATTATTGTTAATTGAGTCTTGAGTAAAATTAAAAATAATAAAAAGGCACAGTTTGCATAGACTAGAAATTGAGCACTGTTAAAATATTACTGTTATGCTGTTTCTTTTTGTATTATAATAATAATAAATAATAATAATAATTATTATTATTATTATTATTATTGTCATCTGTTATTTTAGGTAGTAGGCTGTGGTCTGATAAAATAATTTAAAACAAAACTAAATTATGAAACTGGCAAAACAGAACAGTTAAATGAATTTTAAACAATAATTCAATATAGAGGGCGACAAACAGATTATTTTCTTACCTATATTGGTATTAGACCCATTTAGTTTTATTTACATTCTTATCAATATCTTTTACTCTTTAGCCCATTTCAAAAGGACCGGTTAAGAGTTGATCCGTTGCTATGGATGGAGAATTGTCTGGTAACCAAGTTACAGTGTCGTCATCAAATTCCTGAAGGACATCATCTGGGCATTCAATGGCATCGGTGCATTGACTTTCCCACACATCTAAATCACAATAGAATAAATTGAGATTTCTTATATTAAGTTATTTCAAAGATATAAACTGTAATGCTCTATGTAAATAAACTACCATAATATGCCATTGGTGTATATGTAACGTAATACTATTATTCTATAGATAACAAACATTTTTATATGGTTTTGCCAAACAAAAAACTTTTTAACATGTATTTTTTTTAGGAAAATGTCAGCAATTTATAGTAATCTGATGTATTATTGAAACAAATTATTTTAATGCAAATCAGAAAACTGTATATTATGTTTGTAAACAATTTTATTTATTATTGTTTTAAAGCCAGGGTCTGGAGGAAACGTTTTTGATGTTGTACAACTGATTTTTGTAAGACACAAAAAATATATTTGACAAAAAACTCAGAAATGATAATGAGATACATATTTTTGAATATTTAAAACTAGGGGAGCGTAACAACCTTTTTTCGATCTTTTTCCCCAAGTTTTTAAATATTCAATAACCTGTATGTCATTAACATGTTCCCAGGTTTTTTTTTAAGCACCCTTTAGTGTTTTAGAAAGGTGGAGTGGAGTTGAATACCTTGGTGGTTAAGATGCTTGCCTTCCTATACAAGGGTCCTGGGTGCAAGTCACAGTAACAGGATTATTTTCTCCAAAATTACTCCACTCCCTAAGCCTCATAATGAGACTTAGTTTATGTAGAGCATCTTTGTTTGTCTTCTGAAGAAAAAAAAATCTCCCTCCGGAGCCTGGCTTTAAATCATTGAAAAATTGTAATACAAGATGATTTATTTTATTTAACATGATTGAAACATACACGCCACATGCAGGTTAGCTGTGCAAGACTTTGTACTGATTGCATTGCTTATGACACATCTGTATTTGCCACTGTCCTCTCCCTTCACATTCGTTATTGTAACAGAGGATACCCACAATCCATTGTCAGCATGAATGCGCTTTGTATTCTCAAGAACATGACCCTTAAAGTACCAATCAGCAGTCGGTGTTGGCATGCCACTGAACGTGCAAATGAACTTGGCATAATCACCTACATTTACAGAAAGATTTTCTGGCTTCTCTACTATACTGACAGGCTCTGCATAGAAAAAGACACAAATTAGATTTATGACTACATTTTGATAAGAATCAATATAAAGTATATGTTATTATACATACTATACAGCTAAATGTGACTGAAATGGTTATTTTGCCAGGGTTTTATTATTTTCTGATTGGCTAATAAAGGCACTGGCTAATATAAGGCACTGATGTATATCATAATAAACCAGCTGCCATTAAAAAGCCCAAGCACAAGAAATAATGCTTGCCTTGTAATAGATTCCTTGGTACAAATCCTGACACCAAAATTTATTTTTTCACAAATAAAACAACTCCAGTTCCTAAGCCTTATAGACACTATAGAGCATTATTCCATTCTGAAAAGGAGAATTTAGTAAAAGCAGGGGTGGTATCTATGCTGTTTAACAAGGCTTGAGGACTGACAAATTTTCAAAGGCAGTGTCTAAATGTGAAGGCCTGGTGTTCTGAGCTCAGGTACTACTCCTCCCCTGGCACCTGGAAAACTATAGTAGGCTGTGCCATTTTACTCTTGTTTAGTACATCATACCCAAAAGTTTTTTTGTAAAGAAAAAAAAATCTTTCTGCATTTTTGGTCCATCAAGTGGTGGGCAACAGGAAGATTGGAATGTTTGACAAAAGAGCATAGAGTGTCACGGATTAAACCCACTGAGGATTATAATGATAAATGAAGTAAATAATTATGTTTTGCAATAACTTTAAAGGCTTAGAGAATATCTTATGATTGGTAGGCGTGAATTGTAAAATCTTGGAACTGCGTTCTTCATAGAATCATGTCCGCCGATGAGCTTAGGGCGTAGTCACTGCCTGAATTTTGTTGAATCACCTGAGCCTGATTGCTAAACAATACTATGTTAGCATTTCATACTAATATTCAAGTTATTTCTATTTTTAGAATATGCATAGATTATGATATTGATGCAAATAGTATGGAATTTACAGCCAGCTTTAAAGATGCACTGTCTGCCATGTGCCAAAATTCAAATCTTGAGTCACTAATTCGTACAGTTTCCGCAATTGTTTTTGGCAGACAACATATAAGTCAATTTTGGTAACCAAACAATAAGCATAACCATGCAGTAGGCCTATATTCTGAAATCCACATTTTAGCATTTACAGTAATAAACAAGCTACTCCATTTAAAAAGCAAAGTAATATTTAAATTTTCATATTTAGCATAAAATAATAAACTTTAATTAAAGCGTTGAGCAACTCAACCTGGTTACCTTCCACTGACTTTCTTCGGCGTAAGAGGTAAGGTGGTACACTGCCTTCCTCACCATTACAACATCCTGGGCTAGGCATAGATTGCACAATGCATACATTGTTATTTTCAGTTTCTACAAGCTTAACAATCTCGCCTTTACTCAGCTCAAGCCCGCACAATCCACCAGCAATGAAGTCATCTGACATCTCATAAAGAGCTCCAACTTCAAGTTCCTTACAATCCTGCATAAGACACATTGCACATAAGCATTCAGCAGTACAATAGCCATTGGCATGTGCAACTTTTATGCTTAAAAAAGGGAATTTGATTTTAATGGCATTCAAAAAATTCTATTCAATTACAATGGCCATATTCGACTGGTCGTTCTTCGTTAAACCATGCCAACCTGCGCAGTGATAAAATCTTAATTAACGAAGACGACCAGTCGAATAGAAAACTGGTAGATACTCGACAAAACAAAATGGCTGCATAGTTATCGCGATATACACTGTGTTTAATCAAGGCTGCTTCGGATTCTGGCAGTATAGGTTTTTTGTAAAAAAATGTTTCCATCCAGCTTTTGAATTCTGTTAGCCTGCAATTATTTTGACTTCGATGTGGGTAAATATTATTATAATTTTTATTTTCTAAAAATTAATCTAAATTATATTAACGCAAATATTGTTGCTAAACTGACCAATCAGCCATATGTTTTTTTTGGTCATGTACATAACTTAACACTGATTAACATATTCTGGTTACATTAATTTTCATTGTCAACGAAGTCTATTTTACGTACCAGTCAAAGGAAAATAATACTCAATGAAAATTCGTACTCAACGAAAGGAACCAGTCGAATAAGCCCTTTGAGTAGGCATTTGTTAAAGCTTAAAAGTAAGCAGTCTTTTTTTAAAAATCATGATCACCTCGAGCATGGATGTGTTGTGTGTATTCAATTCCAGCATGTCAGGATTTGCATGAATAGTGATGTGCCATTTTTTTTTTGTGTCTAGTTCCACAAATTTCTTTGCACATTTAAAATCAAATCTTATAATATAGGCCCAAAAATTTGAGTGCTAAATTTTAGTATTGTGTTGAGCACTTGGCCAAGAGGTAATGTTTCTGCTTCTTGTACTGAACAGCCCGGTTCAAATCTGGCCAGCATTGGGTTTTAATTGCAGTAAGATCGCACTGCTCCTCACATAACTCTCGTATGAGAGTTACTCTTGGTGACATAAAGGACAATTTATCCGTTATATGTAGGTACTGGTGCAGAACTGTGGCTGTCAGAGGCACCCAAGGCCCAGCTAAAATTTACAAAAAAGACAAATTTGATTTATGTAATTTTTAATTTATTTTATTTTTATAAGAATCTAAGCGTCTGCAACAACTATTAAAGTAAAAATTATATTTTGAAGGACCAATGGATTGGAATAAGCACTTTATAATGCATGCATGCTTTTTAAAATGTTATATCAATTTTCTATATCCAGGAATGCAGTAGAAATGCATCAGCACTATTTTCAACAGATATACAATAAATTAAAAAAATATATGTAATAAAATATTGTAAAATGAGTGTATAATAATATAATGTTGGGCATTTTAAAGGGAAAGATAATTGTTGTTCTGGATTATGAGTATTTCATTATATCCCAATACACAATAGGCAACACAAGAAGAATTATCTCAACTAATGTAAAAAAAAATTGTCCAACAGCAAATACACTTGCAGGATGGAAAAATACTCTATGAGTTCTTAGTTAGGAGATTTTTAGTTGAGATAATAATTCTTCCATAAGGATTAAAACCAAGACATTGTCATTGGAAGCAGTGGCAGATCTGAGTGCAATAAAAGGATTATTCCTGATGATGACATAATTAATGTCGAAATATTGAATCACAACACGATGGCATGTATTTCAATACTTGGAGTATGTATTATACTTTCTTATAAAAGGATTATATTTCACAGAATTCACTGAGTAACCCACATTCAAGGCCTGGAACACAGGATATGTCAGATAGGCCTATAGTGGTTGGCAGCAGCCAAAAAATCTCTAACCAAGTGTGAAATCATATAGAAATGGCTAAAACTTCAAAGTTTCATTAGAGCATCTCCTAAACCAACACAGGTAAAGGAACAGCCCAAAAGCTTACTTTATCCACCATGGATTGGATTGGATTTCTTCAGAGTGGTACACACCAAGGATAACCCACAAAAGTCCTATGGTCCTTTCTGGTGGCGGATTGAGCAGTGCACTGGGATACAATCCCTACTCTTTTCTGAAGAGTGTACTGCATTTGTTAACATGCGCATGGGCTATTTTGCACACAGGACCAATGGCTTAAAAATCTAGTCCGAAACACGATGTGCTTTGAAACTTGCATTTCAGCCCTCCAGCTGAAACACAAGGAAAGCAGCGATGGGAATTGAACCAGTGATCAAGAGATCTTGATGATTCAGCACACACAGTGGCTACCACCAGTTTAGCCAACTGAGCTATTTGGATCTCATAGCTGCTCTTGTGCCACCACTTTGGACATTTGGTCATCTATTGCCAGCCACACCACCTCGGCAAAAGTTCTGGATCTGCCGCTGGGAAGACGTTACCGGAAAGATGAGAATGTTGGCCACCAAGTTACAGCTCTGTTTATTTTTATGTATGTATTAACATTTATCTAGGACAAAGGCAAAGCAAGGCATTTCTTGTAAGCATGGCAACCAGTTGATAGACTGTACATCTTGTTTGGACTCACAAAAGCTGCAGTACAATGATCTTTTTCTACCAAGTCATGCAACTAATTATTAACCATGTGAAATTGAATCTACCATAGTGTTTTACTTACATTTTGTGGTGGAGTATCACTGTCAATACTTGTAAAGCTGTCACCATGGAGACGATCTGGTACCGATAATGAGAAGGTAGCACCTAAATCAGATGTAAGCTGTTGGGACGGTGTCTCGTTGAATGTTAACGATTCACTTGATTTACTTAATAAACTGGAATTGCTAAGTGTGCCTGAATATAAAAACCAACATACTGTAGTAATGTATTAACAATAACGTAATACATTTGATAATAATATACAACAATAAAAAAAAAAATAACAAAAACAATAATAATGATATTTAATATTAATATTTGCAATATTAAAAAGGGGAGAAAATAATAAGACATAATATTTTGTTAAATGCTGACATAGAAGAGTGTACTGAAGGAAAAGATGAAGTTAAGTATCAACATGACAGGTCAATCTACAAAACCCAGAATATGTTATTATTTTCAGATGTTAGAAAATATGTAAGAAAGTGCAACATTACATTACAGTAAAGCAAAATTTAATGAAACTAGACATATTGGTAACTGGATGCACTGCCTACACATAATCAATTCCCATCCTGTAATTTGCAAGTTATTTGCTGTTTGATGTGAATGTAATAATTTTTTTACAACTATAAAAAATATTGTTATTTACAGTCTTTAACAGCAAGTTATCATATATTAATTCACATGTTACTGTAAGTAAATTTATTTTTCAAACTCATTTTTCTTTTCGACAAATTCATCTAGACCTTACGTTTTTTTTTTCCTCTTATGAATGTGTACATTGTTTAATTGGTAATATTTATTATATGAACATATACCTTCTCAGAAAACCTTGCTTGCTATATACTGCTTGTGTTTATATTGAGTATATAATATATTAGATCTATGATGCAAATAATAATAATTATTATTATTGTTATTAATAAAACTTGGTACTAAGGAATATGTGATTGTTATCTATCGATTTTTGTAAACAAACGTTTTCAGCCATTAGCTGCTGTTTTGTATTGTTTTATACTGAAATAAATAAAAAGTAAATAAATAAATAGATTTGGACACTATAAGAATAGCAGTAAAAGACAACTAATCAACTAAAAATATAAAATAGATTATAGGTTAAGGAAAATATATTTTTCAGAAAGCATTCACAACTGTTAGAGAGTATAGATGATTAAACTTGGTACTAAGGAATATGTGATTGTTATCTATCGATTTTTGTAAACAAACGTTTTCAGCCATTAGCTGCTGTTTTGTATTGTTTTATACTGAAATCAATAAAAAGTAAATAAATAAATAGATTTGGACACTATAAGAATAGCAGTAAAAGACAACTAATCAACTAAAAATATAAAATAGATTATAGGTTAAGGAAAATATATTTTTCAGAAAGCATTCACAACTGTTAGAGAGTATAGATAATTAGTAGACACATGAATCTCGACAGGCAACATGCAACATAATGCATGAGGACGCTCTACCTTGCTCGGAGTTGAGTGATGAGATTGAACTTGCTGATCGTAAGCAACTTCTAGTTTGATGTAATGTTCCTGTTAATGAATACATTATTTTACAGTACTTATTTCTTTCTAGACAAAGCAATTATATAGATACAGCAATTCTCTTATGCAGGCTCATTCCAATTTACCACTTTTGGGACTGAGGTTTTTAGTGGTCTTTAGCAGCTTAGAATCCCTCTAATTAAAGACTGGGTAAACAATTATTACTGTACTATGAAAATATTAGTTTCATATTTTAAGATTAATTTTTACTTTGATTTTGTATTAATGCTGTAGAATTGATTCTGGTTTTTTTTTTCTTGCACTAGAGGTAGCAATGCGAAATGCCAAAACAACCAATATTGAGGCTTCCTCAATTGGAGGTGGTCTTTAATTGGAGGGGTCTTTAATTGGAGGGAGACCTGTGTTCTGTGAATTTCAAAATGGAACTTCTTAATACATTTGAATATTGTGGTGTTTAATTATTGTTATTGTTCTAAATAATGATGGATAAATAATTATTACTATACTATGAAAATATTAGTTTCATATTTTAAGATTAATTATTACTTTGATTTTGTATATGCTGTAGAATTGTTTCTGGTTTTTTTTTCGTGTGTACCATTGTTAGTTAGTTCACATGCATGCTTAGATTTAATGTGTATTATGTACTGCATTTACAGGTCTCAAGAACAAACGTTTTACTGTTCAATTTGATTTTCTCTTACATAAATTATAAATAGAAAAAAATCTGAATATTCACAATTCAATATGTTATTTTGGATATCTAATCCATTTAGGCCCTTGTCTTACTTCCGTAATTTATATACATTTGACAATATATTGTATAAATGGAACCAAAAATGTAAACGATAAACTTTTCCTAACTCTTATGGAACACTTACCATAGATTCTCTCTACACTGGCTTTGGCTTCTAACATCTCCATCTGTTTTTGTTCCAAAAGACTTCTTATTTCTTTCACCCATGCCTCTTTCACATACTTAGTTTTTGCCTAGAAAAACGAATTAACTTTCCTAGATCTTTAAAATTTTTTGAGTCACTGTATATAATACAGTAGTAAGATGCTTTTATCTTTTTTTTTAATACTTTTAGGTATAGTATTAACAATTTTATCTTGTCAAATTTTAATTTGTATTCCATCTCATTGATATTATTGAAATTATTATTATGTAAATGTGAATCATATTTCTGGGAGTGGGGGAGGGATGGACTTCAATATATAATTAATTTATATTACAGTACCTGTAACGTCATGCTAAGCGAGGATGATGCTTTTCCATACCATAGTTCAAAACATCTCTCATCCCTTGATTCTTCTGTCATGCCGATACCAGGAATCTACAAAGAAATATTAAATATCATCAATCCTATTGATTTTTCCAATAAGTCATACGAGATCCTGAAACATCTGAGGATGGTTTAAAATTTCCCAAAATTTTCCCTCAGGGCTCAGCTACATCCTCACCAACTTTGGAAAGATTTCATTCTCACTGCCATTAAATTATCAAATACCGTAAAATTTTTGAATAGAAGTCCTGGGCTTCTTTTTTAGGACCCTTGGATGGGCTTCTTTTTTCAAGATGGGCTTCTTTTCAAGATTGCTTTTTCAAACTAAAGAGAAGGACTTCTTTTCATAATGAATGCTGTAAATTTTAGAATTGCTACTATACAACATTTTTTAACTATTTCGAAATTCTGTTTAATATGTTTTTAAATTTTAACCATGCTAGTACAATGAAATAACATTGATACTGACATGCTATCATAATAATCAAAGATTACATCAGTATAAGTATATGAACTCTCTCGAAAGAAGCCCATATTATTCAGATTGGAAGCATGACTTCTTTTTGAGATTGCTTCTGCAAACTGAAGAGGGGGCTTCTTTTCCAGATGGGCTTCTTCTCAAGATTAAGGGGCCTCTTGAGGTTTTACAGTATCCCTTTTAGAATGTTGGGTGATGCTGTCCTCATTAAAATATGTTTTCAAAAGCTGATAAAAGATAATGAATAACAGTGAAATAAATTTGGCAAATCACAATATGACATATTATGTGAACATTAATTCTGATTATTCTATTGGTTAAATGCTTGAAGATATATTTTTGTTCTGCTCAAATTCAGTTCACTACTTTAAAAACATTATGGATAACAACAGCTGGAATTTTTGCTTTTTGACTTAGGTGATTGGTTCAAGTTGACCTCATGTTCTGTGTTGAAAACAACATGATTATCCAATTATGTTTCAGTTTTATTGAGATAAACCATCCATGATTCAATTAACTCCAATTCAAAGGACTGAGTATGAATGTGTTACCCTGTATAAACAATGTATAATAAAATATACATTAAGGTGTACTTGGCAACTATAATGTGTGTTAACAATAGACAGTTAAGTTCAGTTTTTGTTTATTTTCACTGATATTTTACCATCTGCAGTGTGGCCCTTTTCCACCCTGCCTTTTACCAGGCTTTCCACCCTGCCTTTTTGCCACTTTGTGCCTTTTCCATCCTACTTTTTGCCACTTTATGCCATTTACCCTGCACTTTCCCCTGTAACATTTTGCATTCATTTATTAACAGTAAAAATTTTACAAACAGGCCACTCAGCCTCTTGCTACCCTACATCTTACTCCCTGCCCTCTTGCCAACCTGACTTACAACCCTGTCTTTGCTAAAGCCATATATGAGTTTTTAATATGATGAATTATCTTGCAATTCATCTTAACTGTATGATCATATTGTTATGACTTATAAAATAATTATTTTCCTACAAATAGGAACCATTTGTCATTTGATTTGCTGGCGTGTTGATAGTAACTTACTGTCATGTGGTTCTTGTAAGCATACGTAAAACCTTCAGAGCGGGGATCCTTTTTGATTTTCGTAAGCATGATTTGATCCTTAAATAGAAACACATGCCGTTCTTTTCCTCTCCCTTTCTGCTTTCCTGTCCACACTGTGAAGTCCTCCTGACGATACAGCTTTCCAAGATCATTTATATTACCCTTAAAGAAAAGATCAAAGGTCATAATTTTATTACGGTTTTAATAGCATGTAGTGCATATGTTTTACAATTATTTCAAAATAAAATCAATTAATTACCTTATAATAATTTTGAAAGTTAACTTAATTCCACAGTAAGTCTTTTTCTTTAAAAAAAAACCTTCATACTATATTTGTTTGACCATATTAAAAAACTTTTTCATTCAATGTGCACAGGATTAATATAATGATTGATAAATAAATGTACACTCTACTGAAAATAATAAAGAACTAATAATTTGGAATGTGTTGTACTTCTTATTATCTAAATAAACCATCAGTGTAGTATGATTTGATATCAATCAGTTATCAAGATTTGGCTATGTTATAGCAATTTACCTGGAACCCTTCAATCAGACTAATGTGCATTAAATCATTGGCCCTCTTTGGTACTTGCATCATCACGTTCAATGCCATCTATATAAGGATAAGAAGAAATGTGTTACAGCATATAATGTTATCATCATACTAAAAATAATATACAATAACATGGCAGGCAAAATTTGAATGATACGATAGATTCCCAGCATGGTTTAGCAGATAACATTTCCATCAGTGTGTGTGTCATATTCATTAGACCACACAGACTTGTTGATATATACGCGTAGATTTAATATATTTATTCAATGAATAATTTTAAACAATTCATGCTCTCTCTTCAGCATTAACTGTACTAAACTTAAAATCAAAATACTTAGATACATTTAGAGACCTTAGGTAGTGATAAGCTATGAATACATCATGGTGTAACAATATATATATATATATATATATATATATATATATATCACATATAAACACACATATACACACACATATATACACATATATACACACACACACACACACACACACGTACCTCTAATTCAATACAATCCTCTTTTGCTCGTGATGTATACTTCACAACTTCCTTCAACAGAAGTTGATATTTGGTGATTCGTTGAATTGGCTTAATTAGATAATCTGATAAGCTAAACTTATCTATTATCCCCTTGCTGCGAAGGTAGTCCTGTAAGGAGGGATAAATAATAATAATAATAATTCTTTATTGGTCTTCATTTAAATTGGAAATTCGGCTGGGCCCCTGGGGACCCATGGCAGGGCGAGTGCAGCGGCACCCAACTAGAATACATAACAGACACATACAGACACAGACATTATCACTAACCCGCCTAACTCTCAATATGAGGGTTATTCGAGGAGCCAAGCAATCAGACTAATTAAAACCCAACGCTTGTTGGGTTTGAACCGGGGTCATCAGTACAAGAAGCAGGAACAATACCTCTTGCCCAACCGCTCTCTGTCCACACACGTCAATTTAATTTTTGCAGATGTGCGCCATTTTTATGCCCTGATAAATCAGCAACAGCAGCAGATACAGTACCATTCACATATAGTTGATTTTAAAAAAGAATATGAAGTTTGTATTGTAACAGAAATTAAATAGAAGATTATGTTAATTTGCCTAACTACGTTACCAAGAAGTGTATAGAAGAATCTGTTTACCAGTGTTTAAGAAATTAATGCATCAACAGTTTTTGTTAGCTTAGTGGTGACTATAAGAAATCACTGTTCTATTTAGCTATTTATTTTTATGAGGAATTTGAAAAACAGGTGCGTAACATTAAACTACAATGTATTTTTCAATTACTTACATCAAAGCAGGCTTTCACTACAGGTGTCAGGCAGCTTTCGGACTTTGGCTTGTTCTTGCAGTACTGTACATGATATTCAAAGTTGCATTGCTACAGAAAAAGCAAAATCAGGAGGAGAAATTATTATTATTATTATTATTATTATTATTATTATTATTATTATTATTATTATTATTATTATTTAAAGTAGAATTTATATTCAATAATTTAGTTTTTAGGATAATTGTGAAAGTTTGTAACCTATGCCATGAGTGTCTGTTTTAGATGTATGTTAAAAAAAATTATCAATATTTTATATGTGAAAGGAATAGATGTGTGAATAACACAAGCTTCAAACTACTGAGCTGTGGAAGCCTTTTGGTATACAACAGATTCAGATTCATTCTTGTCTCACACAACTGATACAGGCCAACACCATCACATAATGGAATTGAGCCTAGAAAGAAATCTCAAAGAATGCAGTAGAAATATATGTACCAGTACAGTACATGATATTATCAAAGTTATACTGCATAGCACTGTGAATTGGTCATACCAACAGGCTTCCTGGTATTGCTGTATGCCGCTTGCTTTGACAGTGAAGATCACACGTTAATTCCTACCGAAAGCAACTTTCTTTATACAATTGAAAAAAGAGAAATATTGCAACCATAATTCTCACCCATTTAATGAAGGCTCTTCCCACGCTGTATGCATCATTCCCACACTCTTCCAACTCCTTCACAAAGATGCTAAATGACCAAAAAACAAAGAATGTAACCAGTTAAAGGTATTTTTCAACATATCTTGTTTCTTTTCTCTCACATAGGGAACAATAGCTCTTGCTTGTTTAAATACCATAAGTAAATTAGAGGTTCATTCGTACATACTCTGTTTTTCCTAGACCTAATACACATATCATAATTTGCGAATCTGCTTTGAAAAATGATCAGAATCGATATCATATTACCTTCAAAATAAAAAAAACAGGAAATTTTGTCTCTGATAACGTGGCCTACGGGATATATCGTAGAAGAAGTCCAAGCCATTGAAATAATGACCTACTTAAACAAAGAATTGACAGGAAGTTCACCAATTGACACATAATTTATTCCTGGTTTATTTAAATTTATTATCTTAAAGTGGGAGAGGTTGGCACAAGGGCTCTAAATCTTGAGGTCAGGGGTTCAAGCTCTCACTGTGAATTTCGGAAATCCTTGGATCTTGCTATATCTCCATGCTTGGACAAAGAACTTCTACATTTGCCTCTCATCAGGAGTATAAATGGGTATTAGTAGGTTGTTGTATTATTGAATGTGTCGATTTTAGCTGCACTATTTATTGCCAATACTGACCGCCTACTCCACACGGGGGTGTTGTGGATTCATACAGGTCACATTGCCCAGCAGAAATCAAAGTCAAACTTAAGACTCTTGTGATCTTGACGAAAAGGAAATATACTATAAATATAGGTATTAAGTATTAACTATGGTGCAGATAGACATTGTTTGTTGCTCCATACACCCTTAGGGAGGCAACCGAAAGATGATGATGATGATAATAACAACTGATGATGATGCAGATAACATAACAGCAATAAAGTTATATTAATTCTAATAATAATACTATTAGTATTAGTAATACTAATACTAATAATGATTTGGTTTAAGAGGGCCTGTGGTTCCAGCCAAAAGTCCAATTATCCCTCGGGGGCCCTGCCTTTAGCCAGTTAGAGCTCACAGGCTTTAATTGGACAGTAATAGTCATAGTAATAGCCACAGCAGAGCAGTGACAATCGCATTGTAAGTGATAATAATATTAATAATATTCAAATAATGAGAGAATGCAATGCATTCGAAAAGGCAACCGGAGCAAAAAAAAAAAAAAAAAAATAGTTTCAATGCTATTACACTTGTTGAGGGTTGGATTGAATGTTCTAGAAAAGACTTCAGGATTTAGCAATAGGCTTATATGAGCTGATGAGTTATTTAGAGCCTTGAAAATAATCGTAAAAATATCTTGTAAATGATTCTGGAAACCATTAAAGTTGCTTTAGTTAAGGGATGATATGTTGGCAGTTTGAAGAACCAAATGGCCAGCTGTGTTCTGCAAAATATTCGATTTTGAAATGTTTTTGATTGAGTAATAATAGTTTTATTCATATTTTATGTAATTTTCTATGTTACAGGACAGTTTAAATTAGAAAAAAATAAATATGTTGTCATTTTTACTCTACTTTTTATTACTACATAGTATGTGACATAGTGGGTACAGTGGGCACAGCAGCGGTGTGATTGAAGCTCTAGGATTTAACTTCCATGCACTGATTTCTACAATAGTAGGCCTATGTGTTGAGCCGATGAATGGGGTAATAATGTAAGGTGCATACAGACCTTGTTGGCATGATTCACTAGCAGTATAAAGGCCTAAGACACACATATTATTTTACTTGCATAAAGTAAAGTCAAGTACATATTAAAAGTTTAAGCATTTACAATAAAATGAGGAAATCGTGTCAAATTGTATAAAAAAGAAACTTACTTTTTATGGAATTCGCAAATTTTCTCAAAATTCAGAAAAAGTACATCCTTCTTGCCTTTGACAGCAGGTGGGGCATTCTGCTCATCCATCAGTGGGAGGTAGCTCTCAATACAAAACAGCATATTCTTCACAAATGTACGTTCAGTTTGTAACAATTCTTCCAGAACATACCTGAGGGTGGTCTCATTGTTTAATCATTTCTATGTATTATACACTTTTGACTAAGTAGTAATGATCATCTTCCAATCATGGTACTGGCTAAAAATACATTTAATTGACCCAAAGCAACATAACAAGACTTTTTTTATCTCGTTCGTAGCAAACCACCACTTTTATTCACAAAATATTAAACCACGTACTCCCAGCTTTTCGTGTTAACAATTCATAGAACCTACAAATAAAAAACTTGATTTAATTTTATTTAAAAACTCAGATCACACGTCCGCCCCTCATCTATTTTTAACCTTTCCCCAATCCGCATCTCTTATCTTTAAAGCGACAAAAATCATATATTGATTTGAATGTCAGTTGTTTATAGTTTTGGTGGTTCTAATAATAACCCCATGGGATATTATAAGAGTAGTGGGTTATTATCATAGATTAATTTCTAGAGTGGGTTATTAGAAATTTTACGATACCACAGTAAATCTTCTCACTATATCTCTATTTGATAACCTTTAAGGCATAAGAAGCCAAAACAATTTTTAAACTTATTTTGTGAGATAAAACTTTTCTCCCTCTGTTTGTAAAGGTTATCTTCATATTTGTTTAAAACACTGTCTTTATATACAAAAAAAAACAAACCCCAAGACAATAAGCAGTCAGACTATCGTATAATAGTGGTATGTCTTACTCTATAACATAACAAGACTTTATCACTTAGTTATATACTGAATTTTACAAGTGTATTTGTGTATTATGTTTGAAAATACTTTCAAAATATAAAGACGTCTCTTAAGCGATCCAAATTTACGAAAGTATGAAAATTAGTAGAAAATAATTATTACTAGATTACTGAGTATACATTCAAACTAACCTTCTTTTGATGAGGGCTTCTTGCTTTTTACTTCCAACTAGATCTGCATCTCCTTCATCTAGGATTACTCGTGATATCATACGATTCAACGATTCTGTTTGCCCAGGTACCATGTTGGAACCATCTTTCATTAGGTGACTAGCAGGGACCCACCCACGCTTGGGATGATTGAACTTGGTCGGTTTTGTCTGCACAAGCCATTCTATTGCACTATCAGAATCCAAAATCTCCACGTACTGGCCCTCAACCAGTGGAATGTGATCACTATCATCCTCATCAGGAGTATATGATGCAATTGCCACACACATGTCAAAAGTCTGTAGATGGAAATTCAAGTATTTAACTACATATTTATATATTTAACTTTTTATAATCAATAAACAAGATAAATTTATTGTCATCATGCTCATTAATAAAATAATTTGTGCACAAAATACCCATTCATAGCGGTGATTGTTATATCCCAATTAAAACACATATCTCTGAGCATTTTTACCTAGATGTGTTTTAGATTAGAACATATACTTACATCTCTTGAATCATCTTGGTCAGATATTTGTCTCATTGCCAGAAGTCTTTCCTTTGCACTCATTTTTCTTTTAAGTTTTTTTTCATACATATTTTCAGTAGGGGTAGCTGAGGACAATCGAAACAAAATGTATTGTTATAGAATGTATTTCTTGTAGTTAATGTTTAGACAAGCTCTTACAATGCCATTTAATTCATGATAATTTACATTAAATGCTTACAATACCCTTCTCAAAAAACTTAATAGGAGAGTTTAAATGAAATTTTGTAAAAATGACACTTTTGTTTTATAGTACAGTAGATTAAAAAATAAGAGAATATCCGCTCAATAGACAATCAATAAACAAGCTTACCACCATGATTCATCACCACGCATAATTATGATAATATATTTATCAGTTTCTTTCACTTCCTTCCAAATACAGTTACAATTCTAATTGTATTATGAATCAGACATTAATTACCTATATCAGGGAAGAGTTCTTTAATGGCAAGTTTAACACTGTTCCTCTTAGCTTTCACACTGTCTTCTTCGTCAAGTTTTTCTAGCAGTGAGACAGGAATATAGCCAATCTGACAAAAAGAACATGAATATTCATTGCCTTGATGCGTTTCTTTGGGCTTTATCAGCTCAAACAAAAATGCATATGGATGTGGACTCGAGGTGAATACATGCTACCATATTATCTACGGATAAAATCACAGAACTTACTGGACAATATTATATTATTTCGGACAAGTTCTCACATACTCCTACTAACTTCATATAAGCCATTGCATGCCAAAACTAAAATTTAATATATGTCGGAGAAACAGGTAAATTTTAATAGCATTAGCATTTAGAAACTCTCAGACTCATTTTCGTTTAATAACCACAGTAAAGATAATATTGTTGGTACTGTTGTTAAACGTTGTCGCAAAAATTTGGAAGAAACCTGATTTATAATCTAGGAACTCTCATGGTCTAAACGCATTTTTAATAATTCAGAATTTAAATAAATTCCATGACAATATTATACAGTATTATTATATTGTATATGAATTTTAGTACTATTATTTTTAAATATTTGTCAATTTTGGATTATAGAATATAGAATTACTCATTATTATTTTACAACATATTCATGTGAAATTCCCTCCACGGCCACCACTATTTCAAATTCCTCTATCTGCCACTGATTACCGACGTGTTATTAGGCACCTCTTGGGTGATGTGTATGGAGCACTTGCATCCTTTCTCTGATTGTCAGGTTATTCTTTTTTTGTGCTTTTAACTTTTAATTGGCCATGATCTAAGGCTACTGGTCACTTTTGTTTAAAATTTTATTTTTTTTTGTTTTTTGACCTAGCTACATACTAGGCCTATATATTGTTCGCTAGTCTCGTTCAGTTCTCTCCCTGTCTCTTATACACATCTAGATGTGTATAAGAGACAGATATATATATGCGTACCACTAATAATGCTAGTTCTCGAATAGTCCCAGACTTTCATGGGCTTCGGCTAATAATTTTCTGATGTCGGCGGCGAAGATGGTGATGATGACGATAATGATAATGATTTAGACATTGGACTGACTTCTATGAAAATTGCCTGTAAAAGCTTTTCTCATCTTTATTGATTAAAATGACTGTTCTTTGTACGTTATAATCGATTAGAACTGTCGCTGTTAAATGTTAAATACCTTAAGCATACATAAAGGTTTTTAATTGCTTCCTTCTTCAAAACGACTGGTTTCCATGTTTTCTAAGGTTGCACTTTATTTTTACTTAAACCTAAATTAAAGTGTGCTTTCTATATTTCAATGAAATATGTATTGCTTACATACCATGGATGAATCGACATGTTTAATGAGCCATATTTCGTTTGACTGTGTTTCCAATATCTCCACCTTGTCGCCCTGCTGTACGCTCAACCTATCGTTATGGTAGTTGTCCAAAACAGTATATTGGCAAAACATCTCCTACAAAGTAGTTTTTGTGTTATTCAATACTAGATGACATGCTTTAAATATGTGTAACCATTTTATACTTAAAATTATGAAATGCCTTGAAGTAATGTTTAAATCATTATTATTTCATTATGTTGTCCTATATTTTAAATGATTACATAGGCATACATTTTTGTGTTCATCTAAAAATAATTTTCTCTAATAAAAGTTGTTTGAATTTAGAACAAATCTCAACTTTTAACATAGAAAATGTCTGAGTGAAAATCTCTTTTTTAATTAAAGAATTTATTAGCTCATACAGCCAGGGAAGGTATAGGCCTATGTTTAATCTGTCGGTTTCAGTTTTATGGCGGAACTACAAAATTGAAAATGCCATAAACATATATTGTGAATAATAGCAAAATTCAATTCAATTCAATTCAATACTTACATCTTCAGCTCCTGATGTCGACACTGAACCATTCCTAGTCTTGTTTTCTTGGTGTTCCTTCAAAAGTCTTGCAACAGTCTCATTATCTTGATTGTTACTTATAGAAGATTCTCTTAGTTCTAATAACAGCTCAGCCTCTGTTATGTTTGCCACATCATCTGATAAAATTAGTGATCATCATAGTCATCATCTTCTGTTCTATATCTATTATTACTTCCATAGCTGTTATTATTATCTTTATTATTGATATTGTCATTATTTTTGTTTATTATCAATTATAAATATAATATATGTATAATTATATATATAATTTTTATATTTATTACCATAATAATAATAATAACAAATTACTATGATTGTAATAATTATAGTAGCAATGATAATTATGATAATAATGATAAATTTGTACTCTATGAAACTAAAAAACATTAGACCACAAACCGAATACCTATATCACTTACGGTGTTTAAGCCTATTACATTACATGCCAATTACATTTATAATATGTAAATTAACATCCACTTTTAATCATTCTTTTTTTCTTTAAACAAATATTTTAAAAGACTTTTATTTATTATATTTTAAAAAGGCAGTAGGTAAATATTTTTGCATAATCTACAAAGAAAGAAGAGGCCTGAGTAGCTTAATTCAATTTCCTATCAGTTTTATAGGGACTATATCGAATACGGTTAAGATTTTCTAACCTTCTACTTTGAGGTAACCTGTACAGGAAACAGATCCATGACAGTTCTGAGCTTGGCACGTGTATTCCCCAGAATCAGAAGGTGTAGCTTCTGCTAATATCAATGACCAGACGTCATTTTCATCAAGTACATATTGATAATGCTGATCCTCTGTCAACTCTTTACCATCTTTAAACCATTTGATATCTGGATCTGGATTGCCAATAACACCGACATCTAATCTTGCAGGATCACCATCCTTAACTGTAACTGGTGAAATAGTTTGCCTGAATGTTGGAGCCCCTTCGAAATCAGATGATTCTGAATTATACTCAGGTTGTTGAAGTTCAATAGATGAAAGACTCCTACTTTTAGTATATAAAGGCTCTTCTTCACAAGATGAATTATTAGTTACCGGCAAGCTAAACACATCGTCATCATCTTGTTGTACTGGTGTGGCTAGTATAACATCATTATCCACATTTAACTCATTATTATTACTAACAGACTTTGTTGGTGGTACAGTTAAACCAGATGAACTATGTTCTAATTCATTGTATACTACCAATTTCTTATCTGGTTTCTCCACTGATTCTTGGTAAATAATATCTTTGCAGATATTTAATGTGTCCAATTGACTTAGATGCACACTTCCGTCCATGCTTAGTCTGTTATCCATTTTCACATTAACAATATTTTCTTTCTTTCTGCACAGCATAGACTGACTTCTGTTTACCGATCTTGCCTTCTTGGCTTTCTCGTCAAGTTTGAATGTCAACCCAAATTCTTGTACCTTTGAACTTCTAGGACTGGACTTTATTGTTGTCTCAAACATATTTATAAGAGAAGAAATTGGTCTGTCAGATCTATTGGCCCTTATTGGCCTTTTTGTTACCGAAAATTCATCTTTCAAAACCTCGGGTTTTTCTCGTTTGTCGTCTTTTACATAATCATTATGTTTTTGGCCATTTTGTATTGTTACATGTTCATTTATAATATCTTTGTTGTGTATTGTTAGTTCTTTCATATTTTTATTGTCTCTGTCTTTGTTCTCTTCCATAAATAAAACTGATACATCATTAGTTATGCAAAATTCCTCAATATATTTATCTTTCGTTTGTTCAGTAGCAATTTCGTGGATCACATTTTGTTTATTATTTTTCTCTTTAACAATCTGATCTTGTTGAAATTGACTTCTTGGCAAGAACAAGCTTTGAGTACGATTCGGAACTGACCTACATCGATTTGAACTAGTATCTTCTTTTTGAAATGGTAAATTGTTGGCCTGCCAACTTAAATAGCGTGGATCTTTTCTTATAAATGAATGTGACTTCCGTCTGACTGGGATTCTTGCAGACATGCTCCTTGAAATTGAGCTTTTCTGTGGTACCTTCTGATCATCAGATTCTTCGCTCTTTTTTCTTTCTAAATTATTGTGTTTGGGTTCTTCAGTAGACACCAAATTTAATTGTTGATCTTCTGTTTTCATCGTATTTGGTTCTTGTATTGTTACAGCCAATGGTAGTTCTTGGGCCGCGGAACTTCTTTTAAGTGTTTCTGAGTTGCCTACATTGTTTTCTTGAGGCAGAATAACTTGTTCTGATTTTACCGGAGAAGTGGTTTTACTCTCACTTGCTTTCACCTCTTTTTCGTTTTCTTGTTGGAATTTTATACCTTGTCCCCTTCTTTCTGAAAAGCTTCTTTTCAGTAGCCCCTTTGGTTCTTTTAATTCGGTTTTCAGGTTACCATGTAATTGTAATATTGGTCTTTGCGTTCGATCAGACTGACTTCTAGAAAGTTTAACTGTTGGTTTCAGTTTTTGTTGCTCAAGAAGCATTGCATTGCCAAGAAAACCAGAGAGAATATTTCGAGCCTTAACTTTTCTTAAATTAGCAGATATTGGTTCTTCCATTTCCAAACCTTGAGTAAAGTTTGGGACCATAAGTTTTGGTTCAGGTGCTGTAATGCATGTAGACATTTTTTCAGGGTTGTCTAGACTTTCAATATTTATAGATAATATTTCCTTTTCTTTTTCATTTTTTCGTAAATCACTAACGGATCCTTTCTCAATTGAGATAGAATATCTATCACATTGCCTGGAAGTAGGTATAGGTGCTGAAACATCTACTAAATGTAAAGGCATTTGAAAATCTGAATTTAACTTTTTTAATATTGCATCATTGTTTTTGCCAGTTTCTTCATGCTCATTATTTTGTAAAGTGTTTTCTTTACAAATTTGTTGGTTCCAATGTATTAATGTTGGAGTGCGGGTCTTCAAAATTTCAGAAACAACTGCTTGAAGCATAATTTCATGTAGTAAATCATTGAAAATCTCCTGGTCCAACTTGTTTTTCTGAGACGTCTTCTCAGAAGCTTCTTTGATTAATTCATTTAGAAGTTGTTGAGGTAGATTATTCGCATGATCATAGGGAAGATTCAAACCCTTCATTTTTTCTTTAGTGTGATAGCTGTGTCTGGATTGTGTTATATCTTTTATTCGAAGAGCCGCATCGATCAAAATTTCTGCTACAACTTTATCTGCAAAAGACCCTATGGCTTTCAAATAATTTGTATTGCTGGCTGTTTTTATATTTGTTGTACCAGCTTTGCATCCAATTGCTTTCTTGGTAGGAATGTTAGAAATATTTTTTTTACATTTCGAATAATTAGAAAGTCCTTCTATTACAATTTGGCTTGACAGAACATCAGCCATCATTTCTATTGATGTGTCCTTGTTTTCAGCTTCAACCTTCCTGATCATTTCATATGGGTTGTGAATATTTAACAGATGAGCAGCCATTTCAGGAAAACTTGGATCTTGCTTGTAACCCTGCATTCTTTGATTTTTTAATGGACTTGAAACATACTCCATGTTTAGACATGATGATGATCGATTAAGACTTTCAATGTCTGATATTTCAGATTCTAAAGATACATCTTGTGGATTTATCGGCTCAATGTCTTTAGAATCAACTGATAATAGGTGTTCGTCTATGGAAAGTGATGTATTACAATTTGATCTTGATGTTAGACTATTTACAGAAGATTCCTGATCATCTGTTGTAGAGGATCCTGAACTTGAGAGACCTGATCTTAACTCTTCCAAACGCATTCTGAGCTCTTTCTCTCCCTCGTTATCTAATGACGCAAGGTTTAGGACAGTGTTGACAATGTCCATACAAGTATCAACTTTTTCAGACAGTCTAATGGCTCTTTCCATATCCAAATCCGGGTCCGATGTATTATTAAACAACCGATTTCTTGTTGAGTTTTGATAACCTACAACATGTAAAAGATCGTCATCTGAATCCACTTCCACAGAATTCTGTGCCATCTGTAAAGAATAAAGAAGTTGATCCGTACTGTCAGTTGAGTCATCTGTAGCACAGCTATTGTCACCGTCATAGGACCTTTGGTATACATAATCTGATTGCAAATGTGTCGCTAAGTTGATTGGTGTAAAATTAACCTCGCCCATAAAGGGTTGAATGAAAGAATCATCAACACGATATTGTGTACAATTATCGTTGCTTGTTTTATCCGGATTAATGTTTCTACCAATATTGATATTCATTCCTGGAGTTATGCATTGAAGTGTCACACTATCACTTAGTTTGACGTGACAGACATCTTCATTTTGAGACTGGTCTTTTAATATTGCACCATTGTTACTAATCATTTCAACTTCATTTGCAGTGCAGCAATCATCGATTTTGGTATTTCTTTCCAACTCCAATGTCAAAATACTTTTCTGTTGTTTTTCAGATGATACTAAATCTTGGTCACTACCTTTAATATTTTGATACGCATTATTTATAGTCACTCTTGGCTCAACCATTTTCTTTCCTGCTTCGTCAATAGGTCTAGTAACAGTTGTAACTTTTGATGAAATTGTCATTGGAGATATTACAGAACTTACCACACAGTTGTTATCCTTACGATCTGAAAAATAAAATAATAATGATAATAAAAATTAATATATTGAAAAATGAATATTCAATAAGTATAATATAAACCTGCAATCTTTAAAGCAGTGGAAATAAATAGGGCTGTGAGACCATATGTGTAAGAGCTCTTATTAAATATTTAAATTATTATTATTATTATTATTATTATTATTATTATTATTATTATTATTATTATAATATAAGAAAATAATTTATTATGAAATTTTGAAGCTGACATGAACATCAAATTGCTTAATTAACAGGGTCAAATAATACAAATAAGTAATCTTTATTGCATATCATCTTAAACAGCATACCAAAGGTGAGGACGGAAAATAATGAGAACTCGAGCGGGTCGAAAGCCTTAATTTTGGCTATATTTACAGCCAGTTCATCAGTGTTCGTCAGGAGGAATTGTAATAAAATTATCGCAAAAAAAGTATATTATAGGCTCTATATCTTCGTACCAACATATAGACATATGCATTGACAATCCCATAAAAAATAACCACAGAAACTGACGACACAACCTAGGGCCCACTACTAGTCAAGTATTAGAGTCAGGGTTCCACATTTAATGTCGAAAAATACGGTGCCTTACGCTGAAGAGGGTTAGGTTTAGGCTAACTATTATCGAGATATCGTACGGTACCCATGTTTTATCGACCCATAAAAAAAATAGCCACACACTGGCGGCAGTAGTAGAAAGGCCTAGCCAAGCTAGTGGGGGGGGGGGGATACAATAGTGGGGGAGGGGAGTGAATACAAATAAATAAAATAAATTAAAATTAATATTATTATTAATAATATTAATAACAATAATGGTAAAAATGTGGTTTGGCTCAGTGGTTTTCATTCTGGTTGTTGAACTTGTAGTCAACAAGAGTAGGCCTACAAACAAATACAAATAGTAACAGACCCATGGATGGCAAAACGAACAAGGGAAAACAACGTAAAATATTAAGAGATGAGATCGATATTTATTGGAGAAGAGTGCACAGATGGTGCAACACAGCAAGAAAAAAAGACTGATTTGTCGTGGATATCCTGAAACATTTTTTCAGCAGTGGATTGACGATTTGATAGCTAATGATGAAGCCTCTGGAGGTTATCAACCTGGTCGAGTCTTGAGTCTAGGTGACAGCTTAATTAATCTACCATATGGGGTTACAACCCGACAAAGTGGGGCCCAGCCGCAAGAAGAATCTTATATGACCCACCCTTTGATAATTCCATATCCGTTTAAATCATTTTATTATTTTAACATCAATTTTATTTTTAAAATAATCTTTAAATCATATACATTATTATGCATATTGCAGTAAAAATTAGGCCAATCCTCAACATAGGAAAAGAAAGTTTCAGATTTATTTATTGAAACAGCTAACTTAAATAGGCCTACGATAACACAATTTACACATAGGATAAATTTGGAAGGAGCTGCATACACAAATGGAATAAGTTACAGAAGTTGCGGCGTTTTTTTTATAGGAAATATTTCTTGTTTATACATATTACTTCAGTTATTCCACGTATTGTAAAACTATAGAACTAACAGTTTTTATGATCATGTTCTAAATGAATTTTGATTTATATGATAAAAGTAACCGACATTATTTTTTACATATTTAATGAGAATCAAGACAAACAAACGTTCGATCCAATCAGTTACAAATGGTAAACAAATGGTAGTATAACTTGTGAGGCTGTTTTAACATCTGCTGTTTTCATTTCTTGATATTTCACATTCATTTCACTTTCTTAGACTACGAAAATCTTTATGGTTACATTTCTTCACATTTTTGTGTGGGTGGGTGTGTGTGTTTGTTTCAAAACATACGTTATTTGTTGCAAGAAACAAATAGACTTAAATACATTTTATTTATATTTAGTGTTCTATAATATAAATTTAAAATTTATATATTATTTATTTGTTAGGCCTAATTAACTAATCATAGCAAGTTAACATCACATTAAGTGCATAATTGTTAAATTCAATATTCCAGTGTTCATGCTAGGATGATCCCGACGGGGAGAGTTTCGAAATCTTTTAGATGATTATTTGAACGATTTTCACATTTTACATTATAAAGCAAACAAATTGGACAGCTTGTTTGACAGCAAAAGGGGGCATTAGTTGTAAAAGTAAAGGCTGGGGAGAATAACCCATAGGGCTAGCTCGCAGCGTCATTGTGCAGAATTTTTCACCTCTTTACATAACCGGCGTAAAGAGGTGCTACATTTTCACATCATTCCACAACGACAGGGGCTGAAATGAACCATAGCCTTCGGGTGGGGTAACACCTACTCTTTCCAATGATGCAATGGGTTTCTTTAAAGTGCAAACAAGCCATGTGTACAATAGACCTGGAACCAGCGCCGATGTTAGCAGTACATTTAGCGGCACCCCTACCTTACCATTCGGCCACTGGCCCCGCTATTTCAGTCGCCTACTACACGGGTCAGGTTGATCAGCTTGATTACAGCAAAATGGGCTACACCAATTTTTACAAGAGCTTGGTCTGCCACGACTTTTAAGGAGATTAATTTACCATTGTTTTTAAACAAATTCCTCTATTATTGAGCGAATAATTAGTTGTGGGGCTTTATTATCATTTAATAATGACTGGATTGGATTTATTCGGTGTGAACACCAAGGATAGCCCACGAAAGTCTAGAAGAAGACTTATTTCCAGTGGGGTCCCTCTGGTGGTGATTGGGCAGTACACCGAGAGACAATCCCCTACTCTTTTTTGAAGAGTGTACTGCGTTCTTTAACGTGCACATAGGCCATAAATGCACACGGGACCAACGGCTTAAACGTCTCATCCGAAAGACGATGTGCTATTATAACTTGTATTTCCGCCCTCCAGCTGAAACACAAGGAGAGGCAGCGATGGGAATTGAATCGGGGACAGAGATCTCCACGGTTCAGCGCACACACAAATTTAGAGAGCGAACGCACTCACTGCGCACCTTCCTGAATCCCAAGGGTTGTCAAGCTTTCACGACGGGGGTTCCACCCTTTCACTCCAACCAGCTAGCACCATTGATGTAGTTCAATATTTTAAAAAAAGTATGTTTAATACCTTATTAATGAAATAGAAAATAAACAATGCTACATGTTAATAAGAAGAAATAGAAAAGAAAAAGTAAAATCGTATACACACCATTAACTAAAAGAAAACATGAGCACACTACAGCACCTGTCTTGTTGCTAACAGTACAATAATAATGGCCAGCATCAGAGTCTTGTGTTTTGGGTATCTCCAATGTATGTGTATACCCCTCTTCTAATATGTGGTAGTGCGAGGCTGCATGCATTGTTTGGTCAATGGCATGACCATCTTTGTGCCATGTGACACTTGGTTTTGGATTGCCTATGGTGCACATTAGGATAGAGATGTCATGCAAAGATATTAAGTTTAATAGATGTACGTGGAATATAAAACAAGTGTAAACCTGTTACGTCATAATTAAAAATTACTAAAATACAACTGAGAAAACGGGCCTGTCCTATCTTACAACAACTTGCCTAGATCCAGGAACTCTAAATGAAGTAGGCTTAGATGTTTGACCTAATTTTTGTGTGACAATCAATGTTTAATCACAACTAAGAACTGCAACATTCAGCTTATAAAAATATATATAATTAATTGTATTTTGAAATGTATATGAGTAACATCTTTCATTTTGAAATATGACAAATCTTATAACATAAATCATTTTGTAAAAAAACAAAAAATTAAAATCAAATGTAGCCCCTTATAATTATTTCAGAAAGTTGTATGAACTTGAATTGATTTTCTAACTACAATTCATTAATTGTCAATGTTGGTATTCACTTCAACACGAAGGAATTCAATTCTATTTTATTGGATTTGGTATGAAAAAAAGTATAAAGAATGACACTAAATGCTGCAAATAAATGTAAAAGATATATAAAAAGTATAAAGAGAGCAGAAGAGCTACAAATTTGCGACTGTACAAATAAAATGTATAAAAACTAACAAGAAAACAGCATATACGCAACTTTATACCTGTCTCTTATACACATCTAGATGTGTATAAGAGACAGTCATTCCACAACGACAGGGGCTGAAATGAACCATAGCATCGGGGTAACCCCTACTCTTCCAAAAGATGCAATTGGTTCTTTAACATGCACACAGGCCAGATGTGTACACTGAACCTCCATTTTAAGTCCTTATCTGAGATGACTTGGTTCTACCAACCGAACCCTGGACGAGGAACGGCTAGAACCAGCACCAACAGTATGTTAAGGTTGTAGTTGCGGTGCCCCTAATACTAAACTTGGGCCCTACTTAAATTAAGATATTAATAACCGAGATCTAGGCATTCATATGTAAGACTATAGAAAGTAGGGAGGTTTCGCAAGCTTACAAAACGATAACGAATACGGTTACGTCATCAAATGTTTAGTAAATTCATCTCCTACAGTAGCATATCTGTCACAACGTAGGCCATTAATGCCTTTTAAATGAAAAAATGATCATATTCAGCTCGTATAATATATTTTCAAGAATGTTTTAGGCACAAATGACAATAATGTTGATGACGTATTCGTTATCATTTTTATAAGGTTGCAAACTCTTCCTAGTATTTCAAATAATTATTAAGTGCATGCAATTACAGCAGTTAAAATTAGTATGGAGTACCATCATATACTAAACTAACATCGTGCAAAATCACATGAAGATTTTTGTTTAGAAGCAATAATTAAATACATCCAAGAATAAACAACATGCTCTAACACACATGCTACAAAATACATAATAAAGAGGAAAAAATATATAAATATAAACGGTTTTTAAAATAAAAAAATATTTACCAATTACTGAGCATTTGAATTTCGTACTGGTGCCTTCTATTGCAACTATATTTGGAACATATGGAGTTGTATGATGCAAACTTTCAACATTCTGTTCAACAGAATTGCTGCTGTGAAATTAGTCAAATATTTGTTATAAAAGCAAAATTAACGATAAATCTAAAAATGATTATTATAGAACCAAAAATAGTGGTAGACATAGGCCGATTTATAAAAAAAAATTGATGTTGTCTTTTCAAAGTTCTCAATTGTTGATAGATAATCATAAATTGACTGAGATAAGAACAACCTAAAATGGCTAACTCTATCAAAAGGGTCAAGTGGTGATTTTGTATATTCTGCAATCTACAGTGTGCACACCTACACTCAACAAACAAGGCGGACATTAAGCTGTAAACAGAAGTAGGCCAATATTTGTTATTAAATTTGCATCTCCTGTTTTTGTAAAGTAGACCAGCTAATGCTGTTATACTGTATATAAATAATTGTCTGTCTAACCCACAACATTGTAGTTGTATCTCCAGCTTAGCATACCTCTGATGAAAGTAATTAATAATGATTGTCTTACTGTCCTCAATGCTCACAGTGATATATTGATTATCACATTATACAATTGAATTCCGGAAGCGGGTTGAAACAGGGAACTCAGTCGACACGGAACCCGCCCCATCCCACCCCCATACATTTTTGGAAATAGAAAAAGTTGTGGTAAAAAAATTACATGCAGATTTAAATGTTAGATAGCCATTTCCGGCCATCTAGAGGTGCCATAGACACTAAATTTCTTGCCCACCACGTTTGAGGCTGAGGTAGTAGTCTGAACCATCCATCTGTAACCCCCCCCCCAAAGGGCTTCCTTCATTCGAATTTCTGAATCCACCATTGTCAATTGAAACCTCCGTACGGTGTTAAAAAGGTGGCACTTTTCCTTTTTTTTTTTTTTCTTTTTTTTTTATCTTTTCGGTTGTTTTCCACCGTTAATTTTCGAATATTTGTTGTTCTTTTTCTTTCAATTCAATTTTCAATTCAATCCTCTTCAAGACTCATAGCACTTGGAAGAAATGATAATTTTAATCCTGTTTCTCTTCAGCCTCGGAAAAATCAAACGCCCAAAGACTTTCACCAAAATGCAATGGAGAGTGTTGTAATATAGTGCGCTCTACAACCAAATAGCCGTTGGCAAAATGCACAATACAAATGTTTGTATTATTATAACAGGGCCGTATCCAAGCTTGCCATTGGGGTGGGGGTGTGCAAAGATTGACCATCAAGGGTCGTGGAAAAGAGCCGGTGGGTCGAAGCTTCGGTTCTTCATTACAGTACTATGATAGCTTTGATGCGCAAATACCGGCATAACGATCATAAACGGTTAAAACTTCAATAGGACCTATTTAAGATTAATGTCTATTAAAGAAAATAAACACATCTTGTATCTAAGTATATTGTCGACCATTGTGGACCTTTTTCGATTTTAATTTTAATTTTTTTTTTTTTTTTTTGGGCAAGTTTTTTTTTTTTTTTTTTTTTTTTTTGAGGTGGTGGGTGGGAAGGTGCTTACATACGAGTCGGTTAATTATATTATTAATTGTCATTTTGAAGGTAAATTTTGTAAAATAGACGTTCACTTACTTTCCATCAGTATGTTCCTCATGTGTGAATTTGCTATACTCTAGAACAAAACAAATGGAAACATTTTCAAAACAACGTATAACAGTGACGAGAATAATAATAATGATGACATTGATGACGATGATGATGAAGATAATGATGAATATGGTGGCAGCGGTGGTGATAAAATGATATTGATATTTACATAGCCCTATGTTTAATTATATAATAGGCATTATAATGTTAAAATTAAAAACTTTAGGAAATACCTCAAACATTTAACTTATGATAGACCTTTAATCCTGTGTTAAAAAAGCCTCAAATATTTTATTAATGATAGGCCTATATCGATAGGGCATATCTTTACAGCCTCTGATATCATTTTGAAAACACAGCTGCTTAAACATTAAATTTAATAATTGAGTTTGTCATTTAATGTCTTTAGATTTTAAGCACCAAATGCCGGTAAAGTGTTAACTTTCAAATAAATGCGCTTAAATTCAGTGTTTTGTTAATTTTTTTTTTTGGACTCTAACTCAAGACCCCAGAGTTACTACATTAGCCTCGTGTCATACCATTTTTGACCACTGAGATTCAAGATACTGGCTAAATTGAATTCGATCCCCAAAATAGTAGCAGTGGGTAAGCGACGTCGATCTGTGGTTGAAAGAGAGGGGGGACCACTTTCAAAATAAGGAAGTCTTGGGCCGTAGGCCCAAGCCTTGGCTGGGTGCCAGGGGCCGCCTAGGGCCCCCAGTGGGGTCCAGGGTGGGGGCAAGCCCAGGAAGCTCTGGCGTCTATAGCCTTTTACAAGTTGGATCTAATTGATTTTAAGGAATGCAATTAACATTTATTTCCACACTACATCAGGAGAGGCACCAGGATTTGCCCGACGCTGGGGGCTGAGGTCCCCGACGGTGGGGTGGGGGCGTCCCCGACGGGGGCCCTACCCGACGAGGGGTCAGATTTCCCCGAAGAGAGCAAAGTGGGCGTGGTTGAGTCGCTTAAAAGATTTCGAAAATGGTCCAGGTTTCGAAGCCCCCAAAAATTTTGACAATTTTGGGGTTTCAAAGGGTTACGGTATTTAATCGATTTTAGGGTCTACTAATATGTAGAAAATACATACATTTTTTTTCCTGCCTGACGAATTGTGGTTTTTTTCCCCAACGAGGGTGGCGAGGGGCAGCTCTCCCGGGGCAGCTCTCCAGCCCCACCCCCGCTGGCGCCACCCCTGCACTACATTTTCAAAATACATTGGCGGAACCAGGGAGTGACTTTTACAGATGGAGTGTAGGTCACCTTAGCCCCACCATGGTTGGGGCTGAGAGGTAATGAAATGATTATGGCACCTCTGGTTGGCCGGAAATGGAGCTCTCAGAGACTTAAATTTGAATATAATGTTCTGTTTCTTAGGGAGGGTAGGTCCCTTGAATCTGCCACTGAAATTTATCCTGATAATCATAATCTTGCCCGCTTACATATTTCGTGCAAACTAACATTCATAAAAATAATGATTCATTATCTACTTTTATCTAATTAGCTTGTGAAGTATTCGATACAAGAAAAACAAATAAGATAATTGTTATTGTTCTTTCCACTCGCTTTGACAAGTGGGGTTTAACTATAGAAAATTGGTGAAAAGTGGGGTGGGGGAAATTGATATGATGTCCCGCTACTTTGAAAAGTTGGGGAACGTGTCCCCCATTTCCCCCACAGATTAACGCCAATGGCAGTGGGTACTGGAACGATATTCTGTTGTAATATGTTATTATATCTATTAGCTCAACACACACAGTCGTCTTTAGAAATTGAATAGTAAGTAGTTATGTCAAATTTAATATTTATGTCATTAGACTAAACCTGTTGCCTTAATGGTAGTTTTAATACGTTTTAATTGCAATTTATGAACGAAATGTGTTATAAAAACCAGGTTTATGTTCATAATATAATATTACTATGCGATACTTAGTCTGGTTCATGATTGTCGTTTTTTCTTTAACCGGTAATGCCTATGAAGTTTTATATCTAGCACGGTTTAATATATAGGGCCTATACAAATAAGGCGATTAAACCACGGGAATCTATAGGATATTCATTCATTCATTTATTTATTTATTCAGTAAAAGTCAACATAGGAATCACAACCTCATTGTTAACGGCTTTCTTGATTTATATTTATATGCAATTATCTGTTTCTAGCCGTATCTATTGTGTAATGGAGTGTATCTGGCGGTATTTGAATCTGTTCAACCATTAAGCCTCTGTGATCTAATGGTTATGACGCTCGCCTTGACAGCGAGAGGTCGCAGGTTCGAATCCAGTCAGAGGCATTTTATTACACATGCATTATTATGTCCTTTATTCTAACACTGTATTTACCTTACTTTGATGATTTATATGCATGATAAAAATGTTTATCATGCATATGCATATGATTGGACTTCTCGAATATTTCGCCTTTTCCATTTCTCCTATTTTTACACGTGCTCTTTATATGCCCACTGTATATATATTTATATATATGGACTGTATTATTATTGAATATGTCATTTATTTTGTCAGTTATCTATTTATCCTGTTTAGACCCTAGACTGTACCACCAGATTATTACATTATTTATCTTGTATTTAACATCCTAAGATTGGGCTACTTGATACCTAGTTTTGCTTATTTCACTCTATTTTGTAACTTTGTATTATTTTTTTATTTATCACTTATAGTTCTGAGATTGGACTAACTATACAATTTTTTTCTGTGTATTTCATTCATTTTGTATGGGCCACTATGTTTAGCTCTCTATTTTCATTATTTACTCTCATAGACATCAACAGTGCCAAACTATTGGCACTAAACTATTTTTTATTTTAGATATACACCCTTTATTATTATGTTAATGTGACAAGATGATCTGTCTAAGCTATTTGATTATGTCTTCACTTACACGCTGAAGAAGGTTGTAGGAACAACCGAAATATACGTGAAACTTAATATATATGTTATTGTATAGGCTCACAGATTGTATACTATATCACCGCTTTCTATTGTTTCTATTATGTTTATATATCATGATGCCAGTGTCTACCGTCACTACGCGTTGAGAAAGGTCGCAGGTGCGACCGAAATATCCGTGATATAAAGATGTTTCGTTATACGCCAACTTGGTATTTCATTTGTTTGCCTATGCTGCTCAAACTATATAATATAAAAATTCGCCCAATAAATTTTAGTGTTTCTAAAGTCAACATCTTACGTATTTGAGTGTCATTACCGTTACGCTATATTATTCAGAAATTACATATTACAAATTGTTAACATAGGCATAAAAGCATCGGAAGCTTGTCAGTTTGAATACCAAACATACAAAAACATACACACACAGAATACATGGAAACACAGAGAAATAATTAAACAAACAAACAAACAAACAGCAAAATTTAAATTTTTAAATTTGGGGTCGCCCACAACCTCCAGCACCTTCCGGAAGGGGAAGTGCCCCAGTGATCATCACGCAACAGTAATAATATCGTGCACCACCAGACACCAAGACACTCCGACAGTGTACTGCCCCGAAAGGTTCCAGCAATCATGGACGACTCTCAAGATATAAAGATATTAAAAAAGATAAATTAAAAACAAAATAAAGCAATTTGAGAAATGTTTTCCCTAAAATTAACTAATTATCACCTCTTTTAATTTATTTTTTACCGAATTTATTTTAAAAAGACTTTGGTATCATATAGCTCATTCCAGATATTTGGTACGTGAATAAAAAATAGATCTGTGACTGGATGTCAGTCTTGAAAAGGGTATATACATTTTTTTGGAATTTCTTAGGGCTTCTGCACGTTCACTTTTTGTATTACCATCAAGGATTTCGTATAAGGGAGGGGGTAATTGCCTGAGATGATATATAGATAAACATACTGCCTGTACCTTATTTATATCAAAAATTTTAAACATATTAAATTGTTTAAATAATGGACGTGATCTAGTATTTCGGGGTGAATTTTTTTTACTAGTCTAACTGCTAATTATTGTAACTTATGTAGCTTCTCACTATGTGTTGTGTAGTAATTTTCCAATATAACGTTTCCATATTGGAGGTGTGACAAGATAAAGGTGTTATATAAGCTCATAAGTGTATGTACAGGAAATATGTTTTTTCTTTATAAAAATGCCGTTATTTTTTATTTTGTTGCACAAATATTGAATGTGGGGTTTCCAGCTTTAATTTTCGTTTATAAAACAATACTTAGAATATGACTCTATCCATTCTTTTTAGGTTAGGTTGGTACCATTAATTTCTATAGAGATATTTTGTGCCTGCTTTAAAATGTTCTGTGGTTGAAAAATAACAAAGTTTGTTTTATTTACATATAGGAAAAGTTTATTTGCTTTAAACCATTCATTAAATTTTGAAAGTCCAAAGTAAACATTGGTATCATCTGCGTAAGAGATTATCTTAACTACATTGCTAAAATTGCATATATCGTTTACATACAGTAGAAATAGCAAAGGGCCTAAAATCGACCCCTGGGGGACCCCCACATATAATTTCAGATAGTCGTGATTTTATATCATTTATGCTGACAAATTGTTTTCTGCCTAGGTAACTCATGAACCATTTCAAGCATGTGCCCCTTATACCGTAATTATGAATCTTTTGTATCAAAATATCATGATTCATTACATTAAAATCTTTTGACAGGTCCACAAAAACACTGGCAAGAAATATATTTGATTCAAAAGAAGTTAGGATAGATTTAACGAGTTCAATGATGGCATGCGAGTTGGAGTGTTTTGCACGGAATCCGTATTGGTGGGGTATAATATTTTATATTTAGTTAGGTAGTCATAAAGTCTATCGTGCATTTCCTTCTCGAAAATTTTAGATGAAACAGGTAACACAGACAGATATCAGCCGATAATTAGTAATTTCATCATGTTTTCCTTTTTTTGTAAACGGGGATAACCTTAGCCATTTTTAGTTTATCAGGAACAATGCCAGTTTCAAAAGAACAGTTTATAATGTGGACTAGCGGGCTTACAATAATATTTGAAATCCTTTTTATTATTTTTGGTGATATCATATCTGGAACTCTTATTGTTGTATAGATTACTGATTATATCAGATATTTCTTTAATTGTAACGGGTTTAATGTAAAATGAGTTAGCTTGCCTGTTTTTTTTTTTTAATGACAATGGATTGACATTAGATTTTATATCTTTGCATAATTGTTTTCCAAAATTTATGAAATACCGGTAATTATTGAATTGTTCTGGTATGATAGTAAGATATGTAAATGTATCATTATTATGCTTAATGATATCGGGAAATTCTAGTTTAGTCTTATTTGGATTTATAATTGAGATTATTGTGTTTTACTTTTTTTTCATGTCCACATGGCATTTTTTTTATAATCCGGATATACAGAAGCCCCTTCTTGCCCTTTTACATAATTTATTATAGACGTTACGGTATTTATCATGGTTTTCTTTGTCCTTAAAGTTTTGCGACTTTAAGTATTTTTTTATAAAGTTTAAGTTTTTTTTTTTTTTTGCTAGATTTTAATAATCCGTTTGTCATCCATTGTTGTTCTAGATACTAGAAACACTAGCATATTAGCTTAAATTTACTTGAATTTGTTAGATCTTTTTGTTTGCTTTTTTTTTCGAACGTGTTTATCATGGATCAGTTTTATAACACCCTGGAACATGTCGTAAGCAATATTTATGTCTTTATGTTACATTTGTCCAGTCTATTTTATATAAATCATGAATAATTGTTTGAATTGATTCATCATTAACGATATATTTATACGTAATAAGATTTTCTTTGTTAGGTTTGTGTATTTGGTACAGACTTTTCAACGTCAAACACAGGTAAATGATCAGTTAAATCTGCTATAAGGATACCTGTGGTGACCTCTCTATTGATTTAGTTTGTAAAAATGTTGTCAATAAGAGTTGCTGATGTATTCGTTATCCGAGTTGGTTTGGATATAAGGGGGAAAATTTGCCATCATTTTTCGATAAAAGTTTTAACTTGATTATTTTCTGAATTTATCTATAAAAGGAAGTTCTATCATAGTGGATTGGAAAGATTCAACAGAGAGGTCAGGTGGTCTATATACAATTCCAATAATTAAATATTTTTCTTATTGTAACTAATTATTTTTAATAAAAAGTTATTCACTGTTTAATTCACAGTTGTCTAGTTTGATATCCTTTCGTTCGATAACATTATACCACTCACAAATGTAACTACCAACTCCGCCTCCCCTTTTATTTTTTTCTATCTACATGAAAAAAGTATAACCAGGAAGATTAGGACAGTGAAACATTTGGTTTAGCCATGTTTCGGTGACCCCGATAATTGTAAATTCATGATCTATTAAGTTGAGAAGCGTTTTTTTTTAAATGACTTAAAGTCCAAATGTTTACTTATGCCTCTTGTATTGAAGTGAATCAATGAAATGTCTGTTTTGTCTGTCTTTAAAATAATTATGTAAGTCATCTGTGTCAAAGTATTTACATTTGTTGAGAGAATCCATTCTATCGGATAAACTACTTTGTATGTATGGAAGCTGCGTATCAATTTTAGTATTTTCGTTATCATAATCATCACTATAACTTAGGGGATCGAAGTTTAAGCCTTTGTTTATATTATTTATCATTTGCTTCGTAACAATATGATTTCCAGTGTAGGCAGTCTGGAGAAATTCAATATCATCAAGATGGTGGAATGGAAGTATTATATTTTCTTGGTCTACATAATTGTTCATGTTACATTCTATATTAAAGTATCAAATCTAATTTGGAATTAACAAAATTGTATGAAAAAAAAGATGTCTCTATTGGGAATCAAACCTGAAATCTCTTGCTCTCTCGGCGAACGTCATACTGTTTAGACCACCGGAGGCCCGTGCGACATAATTATGGATATAATGTAACTAGTCTCTTCATACAATTTGAGGACTTACACATAGTGGATTTTAAGCTACGTAGCTTAAACACTCGCTTGTTATTTCTCAAATAAAGTCTTTCTACATGGTATTCGTTTCCTATATATTTATCTTTCTGAAACACACATTTTAGAACGATAAAAATTCGACCTATTCTTAGGTCTATCAGTGGTGTCCATGATTATAAGGCCTATAAAATGTGTACCTTGAAAAAACCCAACTCCTCACCTTTAACATTCAGGTATGCACAGCATGTTGCTCTTCCGAGTACATTGCTAGCAACACAAGCTACCTCCCCTTCATCATCGGCTTTGATACTAGTAATACGTAGCGTGCACCGTCCATCATCCGAACGACTGAAGGAAAATCGCTCGCACCTTTTAAGTCCGATTCCATTATGAAACCATAATATTTGTGGAGCCGAGTTTCCTCCAACCTGGCAACAAAACTGAATATCTGTGCCCGGAAAAGCGGTGAGGTCCTCTAATCGATTCATGAAATATGGCTCCTGTTGCTGTTCGATAGGTAATGTCAGTTCTGTGGGAAAAGTAAACAAACATGATAATATTGATGCCGGTGCAGACCTATTTATCGTGAAATAGACAACATTACCTAATAAGTTACTTCAACCACATTGAGAGTGTGGTAAGTATAGGCAGTAAATTTTATTTCGTAATTCATTATGATTCAATAATACACCTATTTTGATAAAAGTGTAGTAGACTTAGAATTAGCAGCAAATCAAATATTTGAAGAGGTTTACTTCATACGGGGTTCATACAAAGACATTCTAGGCCTACATCTGGTTTTTCAACCAATTTTTCTTAAAGCCTATATTTTTGTACCCCTCAATTCTGTGCATTTTAAACACAGAACATACATAACTTTGAAAAGAGAAGAGGTTACCCCGACAACAGCATGATGATGAGGGACATTTTGGGGAGTTGAGTTAAATTCGTTCGTTTGAGCGCTTCTTTACCATGGTTAAGCGCTATATGTATTGTACTCGCAGCGGTTATAAAAAAAACATGTCAGTGAATGAGTAGGCAAGTGTAATATACACTGATATTTTCTCTCCCAGATTCAAAAATCTGTATCTTAAACTCGTTCCAAAAACAACAACTTTCTTACAAAATTCATCTGTGGAACATATCATCTAAAAAAATATTTAATACAATATAAAAGAAAATTATAATAAAATATAATTAGTCCTTGTGTGTAAAATGTAGCTTATGAATGCTGTATTCATTTTCCATAAAACTATTGACAACCTTCTAATCAGTTACTTTGACACACGAGACATGCTAGCGTAATAACCATTGTGCTGTCAAATACAAAATAGGCTATGCTTCTTAAAATCAATAAAAAAAATCCATCTGCCCTTCCTAGTTATTACCTTCGATAGAGAGTTCGGCAGATGCGTAAATCCGGCCTTCTGAATTAGATGCTGTACATACGTATTCCCCAGCATCCGATGGATCAACGTCTGTAACTTCGAGTACAAACATATTTTCAATGCCTTCATAACTTCTGTGTTTCTTAGAGTCTCGTAATATAATCCCATGGTTAAACCACGTAACTTCCGGTTTAGGACAACCTGAGGTAAGAAATTCATTGATAAAATAATACAAAATTTATTAGAGTTCTATATAACAGAAATAATAATAATAATAATAATAATAATAATAATAATAATAATAATAATAATAGTAATAATAATAGTAGTAATAATGGTAACGATGATGATAATAATAATAATAATATTAAACTTGTATAGTGCAAAATGCACATGCTCGATACACATGGTATAGGCCTACTCTATATAGGCCTACTTATTAAAATCCAACTTCCAATCAATCGAACTACTAGGACATTTCTATTTCAAAATCAACAAAGCAACTACTGCTAGACCTATATATATATATATATATATATATATA